GCGTACAGCGATGGCAGTGGTACCATTGGAAAGAGCAGAATTGCAGCTTTCAGATGAGCACAAAAACCGAAAAACGCCAAAATTGAAAATTTTAGCCCGGTCGGTCCCCTTAAATCGTACCCAAATTTTTTCTCAATCAATCGTTACCTGCACTCAATTTTTAATGGTTGTATTCAGTTTTTTCAATCAATTTTTACTTGCACTCAATCTTTACTGACTTTACTTAATTCCAGACTATTCACTGGAACACTTCAGCACAGAATGCAATAACACAGTTGAACCGGCAAAATTAAATGTAACCGGCGGGACCGCGCACGACACGGAACGTCCGTTCGCCACGCAGCCAGTGTTCAAATAGTTTATTGATTCACTTTGTTTAAAATCAGTAAAACGTGGTAAAGGGAAAGCATAAATTCCGACTATAATAACTATTATAAGAGACGTTCATTCTATTCGCTATTGCACAGCATTAATGCACGTAGTTAAGGTTATAACACTAAATCCTCACGGCACAGCCACGACTCCAGCGTTAAAGCAAAGAATGCTGAGAGTTGACAGAGCTGAGTAGGTTCAGGTGTGAACCTCACTGTAGGGCTGGCACGACACGACTCACTGTGCTTCATCGTACTGAACTCACTGTGCTTCATCGTACTGAACTCACTGCTTCATCGTACTGAACTCACTGTGCTTCATCGTAATGAACTCGCTGCTACATCGTACTTAATTATTCTCATTGTACTCAAAGCACTACCTACAGGATGAAGATTCCAAGTGAAGTAAAAAAATCTGAATGCTCATTAGCAGGAAACGAAGGCTCCTGAGGACGGATAAATAAAAGCGAGTAGTATCTTCCAGAAGTGATCTCTACGGCCATAAAAATGTTATTTTTGGATTAATTATCGTTTTAATTCTGACCTATACCGAAAGTGGGTTGATGAAACAAAAGATGACATTAATTAAATTCTACGTATTGTCGGCCTCAGTCTCCAAAGAAAACTGGTGAGCGTTTTAAAGGATGGAAATTCTAACAGTGCTCCAAATGCGACTAAATATTTAACTGAATTAATTTGTCAGAGAGAAGTGGCGATTCACAATATTTGGATAATGTTAAAATATTTTTTGTGTATTTATAAAGATGGGAGCGATTATTTGTAGTAAAGCTGTAGCAAGTTTTCTTGCGCATATTAGTTTTTCATTGTTCTTCTGAGTTTGTTCAATTTGACTTTCTTGAGAAGTTTTTGTGGGTCATTCTGATACAGTTTGGTCCGCCATAAGAGCGTAGGAGTGCCATGTCCCCCTTCTACTCGTACAGTGGGTACGAATTTGATAAATACGACACAGTTATTTTTCAGAGTGTCGTGTTCATCTCGTCAGCAGATAGAAATGTATATTCTCCCGTGATAACACAGTCTCTTATCGAGACACAAGTGGACTTGCAGGGATAAACAAGCATGTTGTTCAGCTGATAGCAAGCACCTGTGTTTACTTGCAGACGAATGCAAAAATTTATCTTATGACAAGCAATACTGCGGGTAATATGAGCCGTCCAGCGCCCCAACCCTCACACATGCACCGTCCAGCGCCCCAACCCTCACACATGCACCGTCCAGCGCCCCAACCCTCGCACATGCACCGTCCAGCGCCCCAACCCTCACACATGCACCAAAATATCACGCTGTCGTCACCTTGGAATCACGCTACTATCAAAGTCATCATCACCTTACCCTCAGCTTGCAATCACGTTGGCATGACATCATCTTACCGCATCGTTAACTATTCGTTGTTATCACCGGATGTCATCACCTGATAACCGATGTGCGTTTACTCAAGACCGAGGCTGTACCCACGTTGAAGAACGAACGCTTCGCCTACAAATATATAAACTCGCGGTAGAGAAAATATTACTTTACAGGTAAAGATACCAGGTCTAATAGAAAATACGTAAGGCAAAAAGAGAATTTTAATAATCGATCGGTGAATAATTGTGGTAGAATTATTAGGCATAGATGTTATGTACGCGAACTTCAAGCTGAACACACTTGGGGAGATAGCAGATCTCAAAATGATTTTTAAAAAATGCGGATCAGGAAATGGCAAAAAACTTGGAGGGTTGCATTTCTATGCAATTAGAAATGAAGATGCTTCTTCAGTTAGTCATTTTCGCTCCCGAAAGCACATGGCCCTGATTGCATTCACCAGTTTAGCCACTACCTATACGCGTCGATTGATCACTGAAGGAGAAATGCTCGCCTTGGGAGTGGAAATACGGCCAAGTCAGCCCAATCTTTAGGAAGCGGAAGGAAATATGCTATACATTTACCGTCAGGATCATTCTGTACATTTTGGCGGAAGTGGAGACTTTCATTTAAAAGTGATAAATTTAAAAGTCTTACCTCAGTTATACGAAACATAAAGGAACGAATCGTTCGGGAAAATTTTGGACCGCAGATGCGGCTCTTCAAAGGTCATTCAACCGCCCGTTACGTTATTACCTGACTAGGGTTGACAGACGATTAGGTGATGGCATCTCAATTGACGTTATCTCTCTTAACTGCGCCAAAGCATTTGACTCAGTGACACGCCAGTATTTGCTGCGGAAGCTGAATGTTCTTACGTGCGTGAAGGCGTTCAGTAACATATTCGTCATTTTTCAAATTAAATACACCGGCCGCGAGTTGTCATCAACGGGAAATGTTAGGTTGGCAAGATGTTTTAGGCGGAATTCAACAGAAGAGCGCACTCTACTGGAGCAACGAACGGGCCCCGTGTGGAAATTATAAATGGCATTCTTGCAGTTTTATGGCTAATTTTGCCTAGCTAGTCTATGCAGTATGCAGAAATCACACGTTTTCTGCATAGGGCCAACAAACCACATGGTAGAGAAATGTGGAAGAACCAAGGTGGGCCTGCCATATTGTAGCTGCGTGGTAGGATTATTTTAGCCCAACTAGGCTTCATTTACAGATTTACTGTGCTATATTTCCACCATACGTCAGAACCATCATCGTGTAAGGTTACCATCATGTTGGAGCGGCATGCTGGTCCCAGCAGGTTTTTAGCAAGCTCCCACACGTGAGTCGTAGAGCACTGCGTGAAGTAATGTACAAATTACATATTTTCCACACCTGGGGCCGTATTATCAAAACTTCGTAAGTACGCAAAATCGACTTGCGAGTGGCGTAAGTGCTGACTTGATGACGTAACTCTAGAGGTGGTATTATCAAAACATTTGCGCGGGAAGATAAGTAACGTAACTGTACGCCTGCTCGGAGATGTCGTAAGTGGAGTTCCACACACCTTTAGAGTGTCTGCTGAAGCAATAGGAAACTATTGATTTACTAGCAAGTAGCAACACCGTGATTTGTGATAGAATTTTGTCAATAATCAGACAGCGCGGATTATACAGGCATAGAATGATGGCTCTACTTGTGATGGCTCCACTACTTGATCGTGCAACATTTGCACGATCAAAATATGTGATCGTGCTAAACAGTGCTATTGAAAAAAAATTCAATTGAGTTAATGCCAGAAACCGATTTTGTTTTCCTTTTACGTTATATTTTACAAGCGCGAAAGCAAAGCTTTCGCGCCCAACTCTCATCATTCATTCCTTCTAGTCGGTATTTTATATCTCTGCCAACCATAATTTTTAGCTCCGTACACAGATTTCTTCTTCAACTCACGTTGTTTATAAAAAAGAGTTCACAACTATTTTAGAATGGCTTTTTCTGGGCCAACAAGGAGCAATACCGACAGACAGCATTCGATAGTAGATACCATCGAAGGCATCGATTCGATTCCCGCCATCGAAGTTCACAAAATGTAAATTGTAAACAAATCCAAAGCCTCTGATTGGTCAGTTGGCCAGATGGTTTTGATAGTACGCTTTTAGCCAAGTCTTACGTACGAATGTTTTGATAATGCCAAAATTAGGGTGTACTTACGTAATACGTAACTTTTTTGTCGGAAGTACAAAAAGTTACGAAGTTTTGATAATACGGCCGCTGGTCGAGGTTTGTGTGGTGAACTTGTTCAAATATTGCAGTACCTGTTCCGAATTCCATGCTGCTGAGCCTAAGTTAGTATGTTGACTAAGTTAGGCAACAGAATTGATTATTCAGCAAAAAAAAGCAAATCTTACATAATGCATAAAAAAATAAACTTTTGAGGTTATAAGCCTAGGAAAATCTTGTAATGGCCATTAGCCACTGGTGAGCACCTAGACTCAAGCCGGAACTGTTTCACTGCCCAGAGCTCACAGCCTTGGCAGCACCAAGAAACTTTACTCAGCCTAGCAGAGTCAAACGTCTCAGCCTCGAATCAAAGGAAAATACGAGTATTGATGAAATATTTACTCACATACATAACTGTTGACCAGTGGTTCCCAAAGTGGGCGATATCGCCCACTTGGGGGTGTCGAAAAATCTGGGGGGGCGGTGAGAAAGAAAGGGGCACTAGGGGGTAGGGGGGCGACAGGCCGTGAAGTCGGAGTCAGCCGAAGTCGAACATGACTCCGGCTCGAATAAATTTTCAGGAGCTAAAAATCACCGTTTGGTAACTGGGAATTTATGTTCAAAATTTCGTTCGAATCTGCTCAGTAGTTGGAAGAAATTCTTTGATCACCGCGAATTTCGGCCCATATCATATGATATAACTTCCAAATAAAGGTGAAATTTAAACATTTGTCACAAGCTAAACATCAACGTTAGGTCCTAACGAATACGAAACACGAGTTTCAACTTTTATCGAGCTGCGTTCATTAGTTAAATAATTTGGGAGATATTCCTTGGTCACTGAACTTTGGAGATCGGCCTTGAGACTGGCCACGAGTCCGGTCGTAAATTTGTCCGAGCTGTCTTGAATTTCTAGTGCTGAAACAGTTAAAACTGTAAAAAATATATTGGTTTACTAAATGGGGTTATATTTGTGAAATACACATTTGTGTTTAACTTTCTCCTTTAAAATTACGGCATACTAAATATCAAGAAAGAGGCGTTCGTTTTTATATGTGTCTGTCGGGAGGGGGGGGGGCGCTAGAGATTCACTGGGGAGCCAAAGGAGGCGCCGGCCTGAAAAAGTTTGGAAAACACTGCTGCAGATCATGGAGGCATCTTGGATGAAGTAGTCGAACGAATCCACATTCATTGCAACTAGCTAGCTTTGATCTTGCACGTATCACAAATGGCGGGCAACTGGAGCTTCATTGATCGGATTGCCCGTACCACTTTAAAATCACCCTAAAATCTGTTGGTCATTTTATACATCAATGGATATGGAGGATTACCACAAGTATTTAGGCATTATTGTTCAAATAAGCTGTTGCAAAAGTTTATATCACATAACTCGAGCGCAAAATACAATTTTCAAACAATAAATTTTATATATTCAGTCCTTAATTGATCTAGAGAAACTTTAATAATTTATGTTGATTTTATTCACTTAACAATTCAGAGTTTGAATCAAAAGAACACTAACGAATCTTGGATGATATTATCAATAGTTTAAAATTGTCTGAATCTAATCAAATGAACTAGTTGGAAGTGACTCGTCAGAGAATTTCGAATCTTTATGATTACTCAATCCGAATTTTTAAAGATGCTAAACACTTTAATTTTCTTGCAACACCAGTTTCTTTTAACTGTTATGTCAATAGTTGTGTTATGAATATCATTCCAATCATTGAAAACTTTCGTGTATATCGAAATTTTATGCATTAATATATTTCTAGGCATATATGCGTTTTGTGTGTCTGAGTTCGGTGAATTACTGAAGTTAAACTCAACACGAATATCGTCCTCCATCTTGGTTCAGCGCAGAAACGCCATATGGGCTAAAAAAGTCATTGATGTCATCGCTGTTTTCGTAATCCACGTATCATGTGTGAGTGTCTTGCAGTGTCATGCAAAGAGGCAGTTTGAAGGCAGCTGGCAATTTGGAGCAATACGTATAGGAACCATGGAGCAACCTCATTTTTACCTTTTTGAATGGGCTCTTGGTATAATTTTTACAAGGGTATACCGGCCTATAATTGTTCATATACTCAGTCAACGGCATTATACAGGAGTTCCGAAAGCTGATCAGAGTGTTTGCTAACGACGCAAAAATTTTGATCACGTGAAAATAGTTAAAGTTGACAGTGTGCAAGAAATTCGTCAACTTCAGTCAGGTATGGATGCCCTCAAACTTAAAAAGACCAGTAGCTACTCCGATTAAACTTTGTAAATTTTAAATTGATTGAACTTCGTCCAAGCATCTGGTCGAAATCAATTGCAAGAGACCTAGATATATCATAAGGAGGAAAATGCATATGAACTTGAAGAGGCTGAATGCGCAAAACGTAAAAATGTACCCAAATCTTTCGCACGCAATGTGTGGATCACGTTGCCATCACGTTGCATTCACGTTGTCAAAATTCCACAAACGCCTTCAGGTAATCCCCCCCCCCAACTTTTAGGAGTTAGGGCGAGTCATGCGGGTGGTGAAGGGGAGATTTGTGGTGTTCGGAAGGTGATCACGGGGGGGGGGAAGGGTGGGAGGTGGGGGACTAGTTTCGAGATAAAGGAAAATTATGGCGAAGATAACAAAGATAACGAGCAGCGTGATAACAGCATCGACTGACTGTCTGATAGCTCCGAGTTTCAGTACCGACGCACGCCCCCAGTGGCATGTGGTGGGATCTTCTGGTCCACATTGTTTCTTCACTGTACTCTATCTGTGCCTCTCTTGGGTCCCCACTGGGCCATCTCGATAATGTCTTTGTGCCTATCTGGGGCCTCTTTTGGGCCTCCACTGGGCTCTAATTTAGACCCCATTGGGCCACTGATATGTCCTATATCCTCATTCATCTGTTTCTCAATACTGTGTTACTCATCATTGTGTGACTCACCGTCGTGTTACTCATTTTTACTTTTAGAAACAGCTGAACTTATAGAGATTGTTTGGAGAAAGCAGGCGTGTTGTTTAAAAGCAAAATGACTGTTATTTGGCAATTTCATTTGCATTACGTTCAGGAACAGCCTGGCTGTTTAGCAGCCATTTATGCGTGTTGTATCCAGAAACCGCCTGGGGGGATTAGTTTCCCACATGCAATTCCTCTTCCATCTGAAAGAAAGTATCTTGAATTTTTTCCGACCAATGCTCACTATTCGTGCAGCTAGAAATACTAAAAACTTGACTTCGTGAATCGTAATTTTCTAGTTGAGTTTTCATCTAGGCACGAGGGTGGATATGGATAACAACTCAGTGTATTCACCTATTTCCTAGAGTCAGTGACATCCTAAATCAGGTTTGATGATGATTACATCTTAACCCTGACTAGAATTCATATTTTCATAAAAAATGTTTTCCTTTCTTTCTTTCTTTTCATTTAGAATTTCTATTTATTCTGTTGTGTCAATTGAAACAACGTTGAATGATAGTGCTACGGACTAATATACTAGACTTCACACTATCCTTTGAAATTACTGATTATAAGAATTAGGTAAATGTTAAACAAAAGGAAACATTAATAATGTCGTGACACCAAACTCCCGAAAATCACAACTTTAGAAAAGTGTTCCCTTATCTAGAAAAAGTTAATTGCTCTTTACCCGCCTATAACTCCACTCTCTATTCATTCTCTTTACTCAGATTGCCAGTTTAAAAAATATATTTAACCCGAATATTAAAATCATAATATTTATTGAACTTAATTTATATTGTGTATAAAATAATACAGCGTGTAAAATCAACGAAGCACATGACCGAGTTTTTCAGTTAAATAATTAGAGTAAAAATGAAAACGAAAGCCTCAGCGTAGAATGCGACGATAAAGACTTGTTAAGATAACAAGAAAATAAAATAATATAAAACAGCAAGAACGGCAACAATAACAACTGCCTGAGATGGAGTCTTTGAAGACCTCATTTGAAGACCTCATGTCTCTGTCCCTCCTGTCTTCCAAGTCTCTGTCTGCACAGACCGTGAGTTGGTCGGCAGACTGCGGAGGCAGTGAGTTTACAGACTGTGCTGGTGGTTGGTTTGTCTGCAGACTGCAGAGGCAGTGAGTTTACAGACTGCGTGGGTGCTTAATTTGTCTGCAGACTGCGGAGGCAGTGAGTTTAAAGACTGTGCTGTTGGTTGGTTTGTCTGCAGACTGCGGAGGCAGTGAGTTTAAAGACTGTGCTGGTGGTTGGTTTGTCTGCAGACTGCGGAGGCAGTGAGTTTAAAGACTGTGCTGGTGGTTGGTTTGTCTGTAGACTGCAGAGGCGAGCTTGTCTGCAATGTTCAAGAAGTTACCAGATCTGTCCAGACTGTTCGTAGTGTACGGGCAATTTATATTGTCCATACTAAACATGCAATCAGTTATGCATTGTGAGCTTTTTTGATATCCCATGTTTATTTATTTATCAGTTATGTACAATAAACGATATCCCTCTGTAAACAACTCGTTTTTATAAAAAGAATTCAAAGTAACAAGAAATTAGCATGTCTATGTTATAGTTATTTTTATCTCAGCTTGAGTCACATTACGACGAGAAAGAGCTCGATATATAATATATCAATAAATAGTTAATGAATGCTTCTACGTGGCAGTTTTATACTTAAATTATTGTTCTAATGCTTCTTATAAAACTTAGCTTAATACCCTTACGACATATCCATATCCTTTATCAGTCAGCTGAACATTGGTTTGGTGTTATTAGAGGTTGATCAATGATGTTATTGAACATTGATTAATGTTATTGAATGTATCTGCTCATGCTTGCTGTTAGTTTGTCACACCCCGATTGTCATTACACCAATCATCGTAATTGCAAATGTCTGGTTACCTTGTTTCTCCAATATTTTCTAAGTGTAATGTTTTGCTAATTCATTTCATTATCGCAGATCGCCGATTTGTGCTATCGCGTCAACGACCTGTTCTGGAGCGACACCTTCTGGCTCCCTGACGGGGTGACGTGGGAAGACGTTTCCCCGAGCAAAGGCTACCCCAACGCAAGGGACATTACCACGTATCCTTTCGTCATCGCCGCCGTCCTACTAGTCCTCAAGAAGTTCTTTGTTATTCCTTTTATTCTATCTCCTTTAGCTCGCCATTTCGGCTTACGCGACAGACGGAGGTCTCAGCCTGAGCGTGTACCAACGCTAGAAATTCTCTATAGACAACATGGCAAAGTACTACCTCCAACAATGGTCGAAAAGGTGTCTAGAAATCTGAATTGGACCACAAAGCAAGTCGAAAATTGGCTTCGACGCAGAGATATGTCCCAGAAAAGCTCTGTCTACGAGAAGTTCGTCTCTGTGGGCTTCCTGGCGGTGTACCACATCTGCTTCACGATCTTTGGCGTCGTGATGCTTTACGACGAACCGTTCGTCTGGAACGCCGAACTCTGCTTCGAAGACTTCCCCTTCCAGGAGTTGAGCAGCGAGATCTGGTGGTACTACATGATCGGCTTAGGGTACTTCTGGTCCTTGGTGTTCTCCCTCTTATTCGAGGGTAGGACCAAAGAGTACCTGATCGACTGCATCCACCACGCAGTAACTATAATGCTCATGTCCTTTTCTTGGGTCAACAACTTCGTCAGGATCGGGAGTCTGGTGTTGCTTTTGCACAGTTTCAGCGACGCCCTCTTGTTCCCTGGTAAAATGTTCGTCTACTCTAAACACGAGAAGGTGACAACAGCTTTTTTTGCCGTGTTTGTTATCGTCTGGATGGTGACAAGGATAATTTTGTTTCCCTTCCACGTGCTGAAAAACGTCATGACACTAGGGTACATCTCTCAGAGTTTGTGTGTGTATGATGTTCTGCTCAGCGGGTTACTTCTGCTCAACATCCGCTGGACTGCGCTCATTCTGCGAATGATTTTCAAGAAGTTATGTCAGGGTGAACTTGTCGACGAAACTGACGATAACGAAAATTCTGCTGACGAGTTCGACGAATACGAAAAATCTACCGTCGAGATCGACGAATACAGAAAAAACAGTTTTGAGTTGGACGAACGCGAAAAAAATACTGAAGACGAGGCATTTGAACGATGTGATAAGAAGAAGAGTTGAAAGACACTGAGTTATTTTCTTTTCTGGAGTGTTAGAAAAAACATTATAAACCATAAAAAATTATTTTAGGTTTCAATTATTTATTTATAGAATAAGGAAATGTAACAGGACATATTGTGGGAACTTTTTAGATATTGGAATCTATTTTAAGATCACCCTATGGGCTTAACCCGAATCACTTAGGGTTAGATAAAAGGGTCCCATTGCTCAAGAACTTTTGGATGAAAATATTCTTTATCTAAAATTTATTTCAACATTTCATTTATGCCAATCAAGATGTATTTTTGTAAGATATGAAATAATTTTTGTGCTTGAAATAACTTCTTTAACAGTTATGATGTAGTGATTTCAAGAGTATTATTGGAATAAAATAATATTTTATACATCTTGATGCCTTAATTATGTACAATTCTCACCCGTGAACCTCGTCTAAAGGTCATAGACGAAAGCAGTATTTAAAAGACCGCATAACCAACAACATAAGCCAGTTAACCATGGCCTGTTTTAATAAATATAATATCCCATAGTTATACAATAATTTTAAGTTCTGATATAGAGAATCATTAGTATGTAATTCACGATCGCTCTATTGTGTAGCGCCAATTTCAACTGGAGCGCAAATTTCAAATTATTTTAACGTAGCGCAAATTTTCAAATTTTCAACGTAGCACAAATTTCAACTTTGTCCATATTGCGATGCACTCAATCTTTGGCTTTTTGGCCGTAATCCTGACCCAGTTTATCTCGAAGAAGAAGAAGGGAGTCATCAGTGTTATGTGCAGAAAGTGTGTCACAATTTTTATAATATTACCTTCAATTGTTTGAGAGGATATAGAATTTACGCATCGTGTGCCATTTGCGAACACGTTTCGCTCGTATGTATCAGCATTTGCATAAACATTCTTGCGAAATGTTTAGCTCTATCATACTGACTTATATTCCGTATCATATGGACTTATATTCCATAACAAATGAAAATAGCATGTCCTGCTTTGGTGATTTATATCGTGTTGATGTGCACGTTACATGCATATCCATCTGGATTTCAATATGTCCACGCAAATATACAAACATAAATAATATGTATGAAGTGTAATTATTTTAAAGTTATTGTCCATTGAGAAATGATCGGTAGGGAAAATATCTTATCAATGCTACGTGCACAAAGTGTACCAGTATTTGGACAAATGATTAAGTTTTCTTAGTGTACCGACTAGGAACTTACGCCAAAACTGCGTCTTTGATCCTGCCGCTTGTTTTCATCAGCTGACGTTATTGAAATAATTGCCCTTACATTGAATTTGTTTATATTTTCGTGTGAAAAATAAGGAATGAACATTAAAATATTAAAATTTCAAGACCTATCTACATCTTTTCCCAAAACATTTATTCGTATTATTGGGGGAGCTGTCGAAAAGTCTAGAAATTATGTGAAATTCCAATAGAAAACGGATATTAAAAAATGTGAAGCCGTTTGTCTCCCACTGTAAAAGCTTTTAAAATGATATTCTAGGCCAATAAAAATATTATTTTTATTCACATTTACTGAATAGTGAATTACAACATTACGTCGGTGATGAATGAACGAAGCCCATTCACGCGGGACTTGCCACGCTACCTCAGGGGTTCACGGTTCAGACTACGGTTCACACTACGGGGAAGAAGCCCACGGGGACGGAGGTGGCGAAATTCACCCCCGCGCTGTAGAGGATACATCCCGTGCCTGGAGAGGAAGGGGGGAATTATAAACCTTCCCTACGACATGCGCTGCCATTCATGACTATACGGTTCACACTAGGTATGGCTCGAGCTAGGTACGGTTCACACTAGGTATGGCTCGAGTAGGTACGGTTTACACTAGGTATGGCTCGAGATAGGTACATTTCACTCTAGGTATGGCTCGAGATAGGTACGGTTCACGCTAGGTATGAATCCAGCTAGGTGCGGTTCACACTAGGTATGACTCGAGCTAGGTACGGTTCACACTAGGTATGAATCCAGCTAGGTGCGGTTCACACTAATATGACTCGAGCTAGTTACGGTTCACACTAGGTATGAATCCAGCTGGTTGCGGTTCACACCAGGTATGGCTCGTGCTAGGTACGGTTCACACTAGATATGAATCCAGCTAGGTGCGGTTCACACCAGGTATGGCTCGAGCTAGGTACGGTTCACATTAGGTATGGCTCGAGTAGGTATGGTTCACACTATGCATGGCTCGAGCTAGGTACGGTTCACACTAGGTGTGACTCGAGCCAGGTATGGTTCACACTAGGTATGACTCGAGCCAGGTACGGTTCACACTAGGTATGACTCGAGTTAGGTACGGTTCATACTAGGTATGGCTCGAGCTAGGTACGGTTCACACTAGGTATGACTCGAGCTAGGTACGGTTCACACTAGGTATGGCTCGAGCTAGGTACGGTTCACACTAGGTATG